TGTACTTTATTTTTCTTGTGTTTTACTTTTTTCGTATCGAATCAGTGGCTACTTTGTCAATTCTTTTATTACTTCGATGTGAATCATACTTTTTTCAGGAATATAGCATCTAGCTCATTCCAGTAGGGATAAAATATCAATTCAATTTTCTTTGCTTCTTAGCATAGATGTCGCTTTCTTAGTTTTTTTAAATGTTTTATGTGTGCAAATTGTATACCGTAAACTCCCGGAACGGCGCGCTTCCCTAGAGATTGCCCATTTCGTTTTTCTGGCTAAATATCTGACAGATAAATATTCCGAAAGATCGCCCACCCCCCGTTTCCCGTTGGACGTCAAGCGATGTCCAACGTGAATCGCGCATCAACGCCGCGATCTGGGGTACTGGTGCGTCCGAGAAGCGAGTTCATAGCCGGTTCCCGCGTTTTTGTCTGCAATCTGGGCGCGTGATATCGGATCCTGTAACACGCGGGTTGCTCCCGCGTGTATATTGCATCGTGAAATTCGATTACGTTACCTTCGCGATCTCCGGCAGTTTTTTTTTCTACCGTGGCATGCGAGTTTGTAGCATATTCCTGCGTTTTTGTCCGCGAACTGCGCACGCGATATCGGTATCCGTGACAGGCAAGATTGTAGCGGGTTCCCGCGTCTTTATTGCATCATGGAACTTGAATCTGCTGCGTCCGCGATCTGCGGTATCCGTTCACGTGAGATGACATTTCTCGCCGGGTTTTCGTGAGTCCTTCGCGCCGTGAAACGCGAATCTGCTGCGTCGGCGACTTGTGGTATCCTTTTACGTGACACAGGAGTTTCTGGCGAATTCCCGCCTGTTTATCGCATCGTGAAACGCGGATATTCTGTGTCCGCGATCTGCGGTATCAGTACCTGCTTCAGGTGGTTTGCAGCCGGTGCCAGGCTGTTTATCAATAATTATTAATAAAGTTTTGCTGCGGCATTCGCAAAGATATCCCCCACCCCCATGCTTTTCACCATTTATCTCTTCATTTTGGGTGGGCGTTCTGACGGGATTTTACGGTATGTAAAATACAATCGCGCAACCCCTGCTTCAAACCCGTTTTGTGTTCCTTCTTTGAATGATTGGTGTGTATATTTTGGCGAAACATTTACGCATGAACCACCTTGTTCGTGATATATGCATATAGATAAGCTCAATTGTTTATCAGATTTATATTTTTGTTGTTGCTTGATGTGCTTGCCCATCGAGTTTATGTTATTACGCACGGTTTAACATTATGTTTCTGTTTTAAAGTTATGAACATTATTTGTTATGTCGTCCTGCTCGATGTTTTACTTTTATTCTAATTCTTATGGAGGCAAATATATAGACTATTGGAGTAGTCCTTGTTCTGTTATGTTTATTTTTTTTATTTTTTAAGGATTCAAATAGCTTATGTATTTATTATCGTGCGTATATAATTAATTTGCACGTTTAATTTAGTTTGAGAGTGAGCTCAGTCACGACTCAATACGAACCTACGAAAAGCGCATAGTGCAAGGTACAGAAGACGATATTGCACAATGGCTCGTCGTTACAATAAAACACGGAACCATTTTGAGACAGCTTGGATTTGCTATTTAAGAAACATTCAAGGTTGCAGCGCTCAGATTCTGGTCAAGTACTAAAATATCTCAAATTGCTTTTTTACTGTTGTATTGAAAAGCTGTCAATTTTTTCAGAAACATACAATCAGCGCCCCTCGAAAACATAACACGCGCGTGTGGAAAGTTGAACACCGCGATCTTCGAAAGCAGGAGTGCGTATCTCTTCCAACGTTTTTACTGAGCCAATTATTTGAAGCTATAAGATACTTGAGCAATGATTATTAGCTTGCTACCCCCCCACCTTGCACTGTGACGAAGCACACACTATTAGGTCGAAAACACTTATTTGTCAAATCATTTGCTGAACTACAATTTAGATCGCATTGACATCAAATTGACTTTAGGAGGCTGCGGCAATTAGGACGCATTGTCACATCTTTTAGGGTGAAATACTCCTTACCTATGTGGTACCCCAAACACATGGCTACAGGACGAAGTTTATTTTACTTTTTATAATGAAATGTTAAGAAAATGCATCTACTAATTTGCCATTTCCAAGTTTCTTTATAGCTTACCTTGAGTTACTCAGGCAGAGTTGGTTACCGCTGCTGGGATCAAAGAGGCAGGATTCAAAGATGATATTAGTACCCTGCTTATTTATTGATCAATAATACAGGCGAATCAAAAATTGGCTGTGACCTTTATCTCTAGTTTTATAATTAGGGTTCTGTGTTTTCGATATTAATCGGAAAAAAGTCGGAAAAGAGACTCGCCGGTAAATATTTTGCCGATTTAGATTTATCCGAGAAACTTGGAATTCCGGGGTCACAAAGGCAAAATAAAAAGCAAACAATATGGCATTTTACAAATAAACTTCATAAGAGCACAAGGTCAATGGTTCCGATGAGATTCCAACTCTGTTTCCTTTGATGTCTAGAACTTGTACTGACAAAAGGGGTTTGCCTCTTAGTACGTCGAGGTTCATTTCGGACAACGGGTAATAATACCCGGATATAATTTTTTTACATTTTATAAATTAAAAAATGCAGTAAAATAAACTGCGAAGTTTAAGGATCTGCGAATTGAACAAAAATAAACTCCGAGAAACCCCAAATTTTCAGCGAAAAATAAACTCCGGAAATCACCCTCCGAATTTCGCGAGAAATCAATTCCCAGAAGCAGGGAATCCTACCTATAGTGAATTCAATCGGGTATTTCAGGAGCGATCTTTTAAAATAATTTTGAACACATTATACTGTCGTTTTGCGGAGTAAATATTCGTAGCCAATTCCCCAATATAATGAAAGGGGAAACTAAATTGGGGTACAAACCTCGCGACGTGTCATCAGATATCATACTTCACACTAAATTTAGCGGGGAAACTGTATTGTTGTATAAGTCACGTGGCGTCGGGTCATGTGACATCGAACGTCCCGGGAAACTTATCGGAAAAAGTGAATTATTGTCTACGTCACGTGACATAAACTTTGCCGCTAAGCATATCGAGGAAACTGAACTTGTGTATCGGTCACGTTACGTCAGGACACGTGAAAACAATTTCCCCGCAACATTTAGCGCGGAAACTGAATTGGTGCATTAATAAGGTTACTCAAGGTCCAATGTCACGTGACCTATGCACAATTTCAAATTCCCCGCCAAATTTAGCGGGAAAATGCGCGGACGGACGGACAGCTACGACAAGATGTTTGGTATGGAGATGGGGCTTAAGAAGCATTTCATGCTTTAACATTGTGAGTCTCGCACTTTTACGCTCAACACTAATCAGTCAAACTTGCTTAAGCAGCCCGGAGAATAATAAGGACCAGGTTTGTTTTTTTTTATATTGAATTGCGAATCTCCTCATAAACACCGAGCGTTGTAGTTCCAGCGCTAAATTACCCTGGGCAGGTCTCATTGTTCATTGAGATTTTCAGCCCGGCTTCGGCATTACAATCCTATACACTAAAGCCGGGAACATATTTGCGAAAAAAAGCCGAATTTTGTGCGAAAACCGCACACGAAAATCACACGGCAGCTAGGCTCCTCCCCTTTTCCGAAAATCGGGAGCGGTTCGAAAGATCTGCAGCGCCAGATATTTTCGCACGGCGCCTCCGAATTCGGGGCGGACGAGCTCGGTGAACGAAAGGCCGGAACAGGACGGAACGAAAAGATACGATCGGCTCGCAACATGGCGGCTCACGCAGCTTCGGAAGCAGCGCAGGCAACATCGTATGCCATCCCTGCGTTCTCGTCTCAACCTTCGTAGAAAACCCCTTCTGTCTCTATCAAAGGGTGGTGGTACAAAGGCTCGCGTAGCATTCAACGAGGTTTTAATAGCTGAAGTTCTTAAGAGGCGCGAAATATGGGACGCCAGTTCGCCAGACTACCGCACAGCCTCCTGAAGTCGGAGCACAAAAACCGCAGTGCGTTGCGATTTCCGCGCCGCGCAATCCACCTCATGTGGCTCGTCTTCCGAAAATCGCAAGCTACGATTTTCGCAGCCTCCGATTTCTCTCCGATTTTCGGTTCGTTTTTTCGCAAATGTGTTCCCGCCTTAACACAGTGTTTAGAAGCAAGCCAGCTTTGCCCACACCAGGGGCCCTAATCTGGACACTTGGCGAAAAAAGTCGGCGAGAAATCCCGCGGCTCTGGTTGGCCGGCGCCAAGGTCAAGTGCGGCGTTGGCCAATCACGCCCGCCATATTTCTCGCCGAGTTTCTCGCCAAGTGTCCAGATTAGGGCCCCACGTCTGCGCGCTGCATGTACACAGAAACCAAATTCGGGAGGGGCGAAGCCTCTGCTCATGCGCAGTATCGACAGCAGCGCCACCAGAGTGGCGTGACTTCAGTCAGTTGATATGGTATGTATAGTTCGTTTCGCTTCTCTATGTCCGATCGCTGCTGATGCTACGACCCAAGGGAGCCAACCAGAAAGCACCAAAAGTGCATCGTCATGGAGCTCATCACTTTCATGAGTTTGCTATCAAGGACTAAACCAATAAGCAGATTGAATGCTACACTAACTGCGCTCTTTTTTGGTGCACAATTGGTTTAGCCGCTATTCAAACACAAAAGGGTAACGAGCGCCGTGACGATGCGTTTTGGCACCGCTTAACTGGAAGCATTGTATCGCTGCGTCATCTGCGGGCGGACTCTAGCTGAAACGTTGTATAGACAATTTTTTTATCCGTTTCCTAAAAACCATTGATTTTCAAATATGAATGTATTTTTTTCTAAAGCGCACATAAATTAAGCTTGAATCGTGACTGAGCAACTCTCGTGAAGTCTTTTTTACGCAACACGTGGAACATTCCAAGCCGAGCAGGACGAATCGTGCCAAAATTTCGTTTCTTTTTATTTCCTTATGTTTGGTTTCAATTTTGTTTTGTTCTTGGCCCTTCTTTTTTTTTCCTGTATGTGCATGTACCCGCCCGCCGTCCAGGTCCCCCGAACCCTCCGGTGAACTGCAGCGTCCCAAACGTGACCACGACCAGCGTGCTGGTCGAGTGCGAACCGGCGCCGCAGTCGGATCCGTTGGCCGTGCACTACTTCGCGGATGCGTACGTAGGAGCGCGCTTCAGAGCGCGCATCACGGCCTTCGAGCCCCGCTTTGAGCTGGGAGATCTCGAGCCTGGCTCCACGCTCAAGCTGGTAATGCACGCTGTCAACGAGAAAGGTGCCAGCGCTGCTGTCATCTTGGTGCTCACAACGCTGGTGTCCACCGACACGGAACTCATAGGCATGGCTCCTTGTTGTTCTTAAATTATGCTGCATTTCTTTTCTCAGTTCATTACTCTACCCTGTTTGATATAGCGAGTAGATGGGTTGTAATGCTGGGATTATAGCGTTGCATCAGTATTTCTTATGTATACCGTTTTATTCTATTGCCGTCTCTGGCAAGTTTACGGGTGCGACGCGATAAGGTAATTCATATTTTCTGCCTGAATCGTAGGGTGACGAGCAGTGAATTCATTTAGTGTGATACTGTCAGCGTAAACGTCATTGTATATTTTTTTTCACAAGAATTCAGAAGTCTATTATTAAATCTACTTGTGTGGTTTTAAGTACTCGCATAGAGAACTAACCTAAGCGGTAAAAAGTTGTGTCCTCCAAAATCTTCGCGAAGAAACGTCCCACAAAAGTATCCACGTTATTTTCGCGAGAACATTGTAGCGCAGTGATGTTTCGGCTGAATAAGCTTACTGTTAGGAACTAAAACATGCAAGGAAAAGGGAATAAAACCTGTCGTTAAAAAAAACAAAAAAATTATTAATTGAACCATGTTAATCTACGGTCATGCGTGCGATGAGCCAGTTCCATTTAATGTGACAAGAATAAGGTGTGTTTCATCTTCTTGGGTTGTGGGCGTCCATGATTGAGAAAATATGAATGTGGGTCTAATTATTTACAGAAGGTGCCGCACAGCAGACTGTGCACGAACATAAGAGGACACTTGTCCCCCCAATACTGCCAGATATTGTGTGAATTACACTTCCTGATAGCAGGAGTCCTTGAAGTCTGGGAGACGCCAAGATACGAGCAAGTCATTATTGGATTATTTGTTAAACAGAAGAATTTCAGCCATATTTCTTCGCCTTTAGTGGTTCCGAACAACGTAGCACTTGCTTAACTTTGACCTCAACTAAAATATCAGAATAAACTTTTTAAGGCAATATCAATGCAGTTGTTATGACGGTTGCCGTTTAAGTTCATTCCTTCTTCGTATCGTACCTCCCCCAGCAAGTTTGTATTTTATTTGGGGTACAAAAATATCCCAATGGCCCAGCAGAAAGTACAGAAAAAAATCTCCAATGCTGTAGTGCTGTGTAATACTTAAACTTTGCTGTATTTTAAATTTATAGCACAATCTATATAAATGAAAGTTGCTTGCGGTAACTACAGCGATAAAAAAAAAAAAAAACATTTACGGTCGTGTTTCCTACGCCGGAGTACAGGCAAAAACAAAACAATAACCAAAGCACTGATAAAATAAAAGATAACATGATATCAACATGCTCGCACGATTCTAATATATCTTCAAAAATATCAAGTAGGATGCTCCACTAATCTCAGTACTGTTGTTTGCAGAACCGCGAGTCCTACACAAATGTGTTATCGTCCTCGAGACAAATCTTGCATAAAATGTTGAATGTTCATTGTAGCTGGAGGTTGAATAATATAAATAAACCGACTCATCGCCCCTTTAATTCACAAATTCATAAATTAATAAGTTTGCTGAAATACGCTAGAACTAGATATTTTTTTTATTATTTCTACTATGTCATAAATGATATGTTGCAGCTACATTCAAAACTTGACATATGACGCCTACAAAATCATAAACAAGAAAAGCATCTTAAAAGGAAGTAAACTTGAAGTTATTATTTGAACAATATATTGACTCTCCATAACAACAACAAAAATGGTGACTTGGTTTACCGTGGAAACATTATTCCTAGGGAAAAAAACGTAAAAAAAATTCCCATGACCTTGCCCAAACTTAAGCTCCGACAAAAGGGCTAAAATGATTTGCTCAATCCCCGCCCCTGCTTGTTTCGATCTGGATGAGTATCGTACCGGCGTACGGTCGTGTATCGCTACTGCGTGATGCACGTTAAAGACCCCAGGCTAGCGGTTGTACCGCACTGGCTAAATTGCTCATCTACAGCTGAGATATTAGACACCCACTGAGGCAGACTAACTTCTAGCTGTATAAATATGCACACAACAACTTACTCGCTTTGTTAAAATATTTTTTCGAAGGATGAGAATCACTGGCCCTCAATGAGTGTCACTGTGGTCGATGATGCGTATGCTATGGAAGAGGTTGTCTGTTTAAGTCGCAAAAAGTCTACTATGTTTCTAAAGAAGTGGATTTGGTGAGAGATTCGGTATATTAGCCACTTGGATTCTGCGGCCCTCCCCAAGAACGTCGAAGCGAGTGTACCCAGACTACCGAAAAGAGCATCTAATAACACGCCCTCTGCGGCGTTTCTCGCTTACACTTGTTTATTTCACTCGCAAAATATTTACCAGAACAGACGCTTTCGCTCGCCTCGCTGGTCGTACCAACGAACAGGTTGTAGGTCGTCACTAGAACAGACACGTTTTCCTCATCGCAAGGTAATATGATTGTTGTGAGTCCGGGGATATCTATCTAGTGATTATAAGCACTAACCTACGTCAATGCACAATATTTATATTTCCGCAAAAGCTAAGTCTTATGCAAAAAAAAGGCTTAGGATCTGCGACTTGACAACCCCCAGTGTGCAATAACATTTAAGTATACAGCTTTGAATTCCCTTATTTTGTTGCATTTCTACGATAATAAAAGGATATGATTTCTTTTTTGAAACAAGCATTTAATTTAATTTGTACCCGATAATGGCATCCGTCGTGGGGATCCGTGCTTTTCAACTTATAACTGCAGTACACACGGATTCGCACACGCGATTGTTTGAATTTCGGCGTACGCTCGTAACACGATTCGATCATCACTGAAAATCCGTACCGTTTTTCCAATAAAATCGCTTTCTCAACGATTTCATGCGACAAAATTATCGCAAAAATCTATAGCGTTTCGCTCGTGAACGTGTAGAGCCTAAGGGGCGGCCATACTTCTGTCCACACTACGATGAGCATGATAGCGCGACAGTAGCGCCACCTATAGGCCGATCTCGAGGCCAATAGAAGGCGCTTTGTTCAGCTTGTCTTCCCCGAAGCTAAGTGTTTGCCCAGCACAAAGAGTGTGTACCTAATTCTTTGCGCCATCTTCTTGAATAGAGCGCGGTGCAAGGTGTATCGTAAAAGGTGTTGACAGAGTGACATTGGCGGGATTCGACAAGCCGGTCTCTGTTGAAATTTGTCATCAGAGAATGGCAGCTTGACACACTTTGGCCTCTGCGCTGAGAAGAGACTGGACATATGCAGGGTGCATGCTGCATTGTTCACGCAGGCTGGAGTGGGTAAAGAAAAGCGCCCCTCCTCGGGCGACGGGAGAACGTGATCCCCATCCGAATACTGACGTAGTGTTTGGCTACGTCAGTCGAGCTCTGCATCGATGCTGTTGTCGTCCCCATCGGTGCAGCTCTAAAGTACGCGGCGGTTCAATCTCCCCACGAATACTGGTGTAAACTTATGGCTACCGTTAAGTTTCCACACTTGTAGTCGCCAAATTTTACAATTGGCTAAATTTGGTGTTTTAGATTTCACGCGGAAAGGTTACGACGTGTTCGATTAAGAAAAGAAATGATAAGGGCAGGATAACTGATTTGGTGTCTAAAATATCCATATTGTAAAATATATTTAACATATGTGGCCGTATCAACAGATCTAGATCAATCGAATCACAAAACCCTACTCTCAAGCAATGATTCCTTCATTGCAAAATTAAATATTTATACTTCTGAAAAACAATTACATACTAACGTTCTGTTATGTAAATATTGCGACCTTCAAAATGCCACTCCCCCCCCCCCCCCCAAAGAACGAGAAAAAAAAGCATTATAATGAATATTAGTTTATATAATGATGACGGAAGTTTAAACATGAAAATGTAAAATACGCATGCTTCCGGTCGTTCGGAGAATGTAAGGCCGGCTCAAAGTTTTCTTAGAGCAGATTGGTTGCAAATGTCTCTCTCTGTGGCAACGGCCCGGCCTGGTTTTACATTAACATAAATAAGTTCATACTTTACCGGCCCCTCTTCGAGTGTAGACCAGCTTCGAATATTTTCGAAATACATATTTATTCCTATTTTTTTATACTTTCAGTTCAATATTACGCTGCGTAAAAGTGCTGTTGTAAAGAAAAGCTCTAAAGCAAAGACGCTCAAAGGCGTTATCTTCAAAAGCCATATCTGATTTAAAAATTTCATATATTGTGCCCTCAGTCCCGAGATACAGTTTCTGAACTCCCGTTTAGGGCTTCTTCCTGGTGAAGCAGCAATGGTGTCTGCCTCCAGCCCTCTACTTGGAATTCTGCTTGGTCTCGTCGCCCTGCTCGTCGTCATTGCTATTGTCATCATCGTGATTATGAAAGTCAAAACGGGAAAGAAGGCTGCGGGTGAGGTTTCATTTTTTCCTTCTCAGACGCGTCTCTAAATGATTTTTTTAATATACATCGCGCTGCAAATTTTATTTAGTACAATCAATACTCTTAAAATTATCCCGAATGGAAATGCATTCATGGAAGAAGTTTTCTTGAAAAGTAAACATATTTTATCGACACCTTAAATTATTTGCGTTTTTGAATTATAAACACATTGTATACCAACCATAGATTATTCTAAGGTATTTACTTTGATAGTTAATGTATTTACGATTAAAATCGACATCTTAAACTGTTGAATACAATTCATACACATACTCACATTTTTGTATTAACTAATACTGTTGCAGTCGTCCGAAGCGAAACAAGAAAACTTCTGAAACCGATGCTGATTTAACCTGAGACTGGGGTAGAGAAGAACCATCAAAACGTAGAAGGGACAGAATATTCACCAGCTCGCCTGCACCCTTACGATTTTTTCTGAAACCCAAATATTAAAAAGCTTTAGTAGACTGTTTTCATTTCCCGCTTCACTCCGGTCCGAGCCTGCACAACTGCTTATGTGCAGTGCATCCGGCTACGCTTAAGCTAAGAGCGAACGGGCATGTACAGTGGGGATTGTGCCCGCTCTGTAGAGCGGAGCGGGCCCATGAAAGCTGCATACTAAAACTCGCATCTGTGAATACGCAGTATTTTTTCTTTTTGTATCAGGTACCTATACAAACGTCTGAAAACAGATCTTATCGTACGCTAAGTACCTCGGGATTATCTCTGTGTATGCTGAACGCAGCTTGAATAAGAAAGTTCAAGTAATCATAATTCTGCGTTCTCCAATGCGTGGTCTTTTAATTGCACAACAGTTGAATTCAAGGAGTTTTGCGCACTGTCATCTGTGAAATGTATCAATATTAATAATAAAATCATATCAAATACTTATATGTAGTTGAAGGAATAAGGGTCTAGATTAGATGGCTTGATAGTTTTATATGAACTACTCCTTATTTCACACGCAGTAAAATATGGGATACAGGTTTAGCTTTCATCCGTGCACTAGCATAAAGTTTCAGCCGCGTTCCCTTGATAAATATCCTATTTCATCTTTTCCAGCTGCCAAGAGAGCCAAAGATGACGATAAGTAAGTAATACTACTGTACTTACAATTGCGTAATGTAGATCACTTAATTTGTTATCGCAAAGCATGGATAGGCAAAACTAATTTACCTAGGCGAACACACAATACGTGTTTGCTTAACAAATTATGCTAGATTTTATGTTGAGGAAGGATCAAATTGATCTTATGGTCGCGATTTTTCTTTTGAAGTTGGGCGCATGAGCATTTTTTTGGATATAAGTTTTGTTGTTAAATCAATAAACTAAAAAAAAAAATAAGATATTTTTTATTCAAAGCTTAGCGCCTTGAACGAAGCTGTAAGCTGTAAGATTAATTTCGTGTCATGTTGAGAAGCTTTGTCTTACATCTCAAAAACCTATCTTATTTCGTTCGCAAATAAGACCAGACCATTTTAGGAAGACATTCATGCACTGTAAAAGTTAAACTCATAAAATCTCACGATATATATATATATATATATATATATATATATATATATATATATATATATATATAAAAATTCCAAATTTATAATTCCGTAAATTGTGTTGATGAGTCCCGTATTTGTTAGGCCCAGAATTAAATATGTGCTTCTAAGTAATGCCATCTAAATGTGGATTCAATGAAGCGAATATACTTCGAAAAGTAACATTTCATCCGGCTCCTTTCATGGAGAACATGCCTCCTGGCCAATTTCGCGTGGTTTTCGCTGCTCATTTGCTTCATGAAGTTCATCCTTAAGAAGAAAGAATTAAGCAATAAACATATATGCGAGGTTCAGTGTCAGCGTTTTTGTTTAGACGATATGACTCCGTAAGGTCAGTTTTTTAGACATTAAATTAAGCGGTTAATATAGCCAGGGATAGGCACAATTTTAAATACAAGTATTTTAAATACGTATTTAAAATACATAAAGTATTTTGTACTTCGTATTTCATTACATATTAATCAATGTAAATGCCAACTCTAATTAAATACAAAAAAATACCATTTCAAATATTGCCCAAATACTATTTTGAGCACAGTTTTTTTCGCAATCCAATGCTATATTATGCACTCTTTGCGGTGGGAGTTATAACAAAGAGCATTAACTTGCTGAGCTCTACTCATGAAAACACACAAAAAAATAGAAGAAATGTTGAACATAGAATAAAGGGGGTGGGTGCAATTACTGACTTTGGTTGACTGATGTCAACCAAAAAGACGTTGCATTAATCACACGTTTCAAAAGGCTTTCGTGCTTCAATTTAGCCTTTCAGAATAAACTCATACTAAATACATTGTATTTCCTGGTGTTCTACAAGCCTATCTTATGAGAAACAACTTCTATTTTTAGAGCTGCAGCTTGTCTTTTAACACCTAAAAAGCGCCAAAAAAAAACAAGGAAGAGGAAGTAGACAGAAAAGAGCGCTCCTTTCTGTCTACTTCTCTGTGTCTAAGCGCCCTTGTCTGCCTACTTCCTCGTTCTTGTGTTTTTTTTTTTTGGCACTTTTTTTTAGGTGGTCATGAACCAACTGGCCCGAAATTCCTACCTTAATTGTCTTTTAAGCGCTTGATTTTTCTTGTGTATGGACTCTACTCTTTATTTTGGGCCCACTTTTTTTTGGTTTGGAGGACGGGGGGGGGGGGGGGGGTGTTACTTGCGGTTAAATTTAAGTTTAAGATGTCAGACTGTGGGAGCAAACTGTATTTGTAAAAGTATTTCAAGGCGATGAAATACTCTCGTTGAAATTGTATTTAGTTTTATATGCTTTTCTAAAATGTTTAATTGGATTTGTAATTAAATACATTTTTGTCGAAGTATATTGTATTTTATTTGGATACATTTATTAAAGTATTTTGCCCATTCCTGATTATAGCGCATCAGCATCAAATCACCCGTGATTCAAACTTTTCATAAGTTCAGCCACTTTTTACACAAGATGCAACGTGCGATGTTCATGAGGTTTCGAGGCGTCATTTTAATTTGAATTGAAGTATAACTAAACTTCTACCTTCGCAACACTTGTTTTTGAAACTGTACTCGCATGTAATCATTCGATATTTTGTTACTTTTAAAGAAGCAGTGGGTTTATAAAAAAAGGTGCTGGGAAGAACTGGAGTTCCACGAGATTTAATTGTGACTTAACGATAGGAATATTGTAGTGTTGTGTTAAATATATATTCATAATTAGACGTAAACCTTTCAGTGGACATCCACCTGGTTAGGAGTGACCATTATGTAAAAACAGTAAAAGTAAAACTCTAACGCAAAAATAATACGAAGCCCGAAGTTTCAGGACGACGACAAGAACGAAAACAGTCACCTGTGAACAAGGGGCTGAACCGGCCTTGAAACGTCGGGCTCCGTATTATTTTTTTGGTTTTCTTTTTATATAATTATATTTGTAATCCTAAACGCCATAGCGCGATATAGGCCACGTAAGGTATCTCCTTTTTGAGTAGATCAGCTTCATGTTACCTGTTAATCATTTCGTGTTTAAACGTTTTTTTTACCTTTGTTTTGAAACTAATTCGCTTACAGTAGACTATAAGCTGTTTCCTTGTTTGTAAGATTACGAGTAAATTAGTTAATTTAAAGATGTAAAATATTAAAAATATTATTGCGAATAATTTCTAAAATAAGTAAATTGAGGAATTTGTGATGCCAGTGTTTAAGCTTGATTATTTCTTTGCTGTTCAGATCCCACACTCCTCTCAAAAAAGACATTGGTGACATCACCGAAGTGGAAGATAAGTGCCCGGACATTATCCCGCCAAAGAACATTGGAATCGGTGAGTACTTTATGTTTCTGTGTCCTGTTTATCCTGCAATACAACGAGTCTCACTGCATTGAATTTCCAGCTATTGCTGAACTTGCTTAATCTATATTTGAAGTACAGTGTGACAGCCTCCAAATACTTTAAATATAACTAAAAAGGTAGATGGCTATTGTGCCCATAATACGTTAAGTAAGCTCACAATTACGGGTACTATTTCTCCTTCTTGATGATGAGGTAGGAACGGAACAGGTGAGATTCGAGAACACAACAGCTTGCGGCCACCATGATTAGAGTCGTGATGTAGTCCAATTAGTTCATGGTAAGCGGAAATAAACAGCCACCATGAGCAAGGTTCCATCATCAGCAATGTTCGTTATTTTAGTCCAGGGATTTTTTTATTCCTAGGACGTGGACTGCGCACATAATTTATGTGGATTTAGGCAGATATGTGGGCGGTAATTGAGGGTTCGAAAGCGGAATGAGTCACGCGCACTTTCTTGCATGTCCAGTCTCAGAATGACACCACCCTACGAACACCGAAAAACAAAACGTTACTCAAACTTCTGTATTTATCAATAAATAAAGCAATAAAATTAATATTATTTTGCTTTCTTCGGGATCTAGGGCCCATTTAACAAAAACAAGTAAGCAATGACAGCATCTTATTTGAACAAAAAAGTGCGAAGAAATTTTGCTTCAGGCATGCTATCTCACTCAGGGTAGCTTGTATTGAATAAAATCGTAGTCGTTTCTTTAGATGCTCACAGCAGCTACACACCTATTGTCGGCCATTAGCGGACTGTTAATGACCCATGCTGCCCTGAAAGGCTCATGGGTTCATTTAGGAGCTCGTTTGTCAGAAACCTTTCTTCCACTAGCTCCAACTACTTTTTTCACAGCTTACTGTTTTTTTTTAACTTTTACTAATGTAATTTTAATGAAACGAATTAGCATACATGGAGCGTAAACACACATCGAATGATCATACGATCTTGGTATACTCATTTTGTCCAGGCTCGTGAAGATATTTCAGTAATTTGCAATCGTGCAGTCATAATGTTTACAATGACATAGCAAAAAGCATATTCTATGATAAGTATCTGATAAAAAAATAGAGGAGGCTGCAAAAATGTGTTTTATTCTTTTAGGGTTTCCCAATTATGCATGGCAATATTTTTTTTTAAATTTTTGTTTTGATCGACCAACGTTTTGAGATATGTGCAGATCGAAGAAAAAATAACTGGAAAACAAATATTTCAACTATTTTTTAGAGAGGAAATTCAATTGGTTCACATATCATCGCCACCATGATATGTGGTGGCGATGCTATATTATCATCGCTTTTTCTCTTCTTGGTTATTAAACTTTCATTGATCCCGGGATGACGCAACAGAGTCACCTGCGATGGTATGAATAGGTCACGTGGGACCACAGCACTGATTAGATAAAAGTTTCGTTATTTGCTCAGATTCTCACAGATGAAGTCCATACCTATGACATCTTAGGTTTTTGGTCCCGATCGCCACCGCTTTCTTAATGTTATGCTAAAATTCGGGTTCCGAAGGATCGATTCCGAAACCGATACAGCGATAATTATTTATTTCCAGCTTTCCTAATTATTTCATTTTCTGAAGCATGATTTGTAATGCCAAACGAATTGTCTAGAATCAAAAAACGCACAACATGTGTTGATTTCTATACCATTTTATTATTAGAGTGATAACCTGGCACAGCAACTGGTAATTATTAGTCATAAGCGGCCCGCATTATCACCTACAGCGCAATTAGATTGTTTATTTTAGGGGTTTGAAATTCAAGTCGTTTTTTGGTTCAATATTTCTACTGCGCGTAGCGCAAAATCAGTATATGGTATTATCAATAAGGTGATGTATACATAAATGCATACAAGGCTATGCGAGGCTAAAGGTAATTGTCCGATGCCTAATATTTTCGGCTATATGAGAGTGTCTGAATGTACTTCAAATTAATGTTGTATTTTGCGACGCAGTGTCTGGCTCGGACTACAACGACATCGAGCTGAAGTACGTGGAAACGCACATCACAGACCGGATGCCATCCTACGAGAACGGCGGCGAGAAGAAGTACCAGGACACGTTCAGCGCGTCCTTGGGCCCTAATTGCTACCTGCCCAAACAGGTGCTGCCCCTAGACGTCCGCCGCGAGCTAACGGCCGCAATGCGCTCAGCCTCCCGCCCAGATCAGCGGTTCTTCACGGTGTGGCTTTTTGGGTGCATGCGCCGATTTTAAACGTGCAACTTGACCTGTCTTGTTTATCAGCCTTGTCAGTGGACGTGTGTGTGTGTGTGTGTGTGTATGCCTGACCGTGGGAGGGCAGTATCTTGGGGGCCTGGATGTGACCGCGGTTGTCGTTGTACGTGGTGTTTTCGGGAAACGAAATCCGTCTTCTCTTGCCGAAGCCTCCGCCAAAATGCAGCCATAACAATTTGGCTCAGATTTCCGAAAGTTACTATTCAAACGTTTAAAGTAAATTTCTAGATTCCAAGTGAGAAAAATAAAGCCGAAAAGGCCCCGTGATATGTGAAGAAGTGCCTACCGTTAACTGGAACGATTTTGTTTGTTGGAAACGTTCGAGAATTTCTTATGAATGGTGAAGGTCATGGGAACTCTTGGCACGTGGTAGAAGCTTTTTGCTCTACCTCTTTGGGTGGAAACACAGCGTGATTGGAGTTTTTTTTTTTTCAATAAAAGCATGGCAGTTTTTTTTTTTTTTTTTTTTACAGGCATCCTGTATATAACGGTGTGCTTTTTGTCATAACATGCACTGTAACGCTGATTTGAGCGTTGCATCTACGCAAAGTAGACAATTGTATATATGAAGTATATAGTTTTGTTCGATTCAATTAGACCTTTTACACGGAAATATATAAAGCCGTGAAAACTTTACCTGAAAGTTATCAAATTCGTCCACCGCTAAGTAATGTCCTCTTTTGGGCATCTTAACAGGATCATTGTTTATTAATAATGCTTTTTGATGGATTCCGACATCACCGAAAATTCTAGACCACAATAGTCCTTAATCTAGCAGGTTCCCAGAATATACGTTTTAAAAGCTCCTACGAATAAGTACCAACCCAGCGTGGAACAAAATAATTCTTATAAATACAAAATTGAGCGAGTAATAAATATAATAGAAGAGGCGCGACAGGCACAAAACGTGAAATTGCAGTTAGACCATAGTTTTGATTATAGATATATTTTTATACTCTGCGTAATATCCGTGTTTTGCTCGTGTTATTCTTTTTTGGAGACACGTAAATATATGCACATTCGTTAACGTACTCGAGGCGTTTTCTGCCATTCATACAGCTCTCACCTCTTAATTGTTTTTTGTTCTAATTTCAGCGGGCAGACGACTTGACGTACGCCGAGCTCAGTCTACCGCCGAGCACGCAGTCAACGTTCAGCCGCAGCGTGTCGAGGGCAGGTTGCCGGAGCGCGGCGCTAAGTTCCCCTCAGCCGGCGATGGGACCCCACGATCCGCCGACGGAGTACGCGGACATCGACTTCGCGGCCACCAGAGCTCACGGTAGGGCCGCTGCTGCAGCCTCCGTTCCCCGTAGCAACGTGCCGGTTCCGCGGGTGATCGTCACTGGGCCCAAAAAGGCCGCGCCGCTTTCGGCCTTTGCGAGCTGGCCGCCGAACACGTTCGAAGCCGCCGTGAGTTCGTAGCCACCTCCTGAGAGGTCGCTTTCAAGGCCTGCTCTAAGGAATAGAGCCGACTAACCTAGTCTTGAAAAGCGCGGAACTAACAGCATGTATTTGGATGCGCAGCAAGAGCTTAATTATTTCGTATTGAATATGGCAACATATATTATTCTCTTTGGTCATTTTTTTTATTTAACATATGGAGTTTTCGGCATGGTGCCGCTTTATTAACAATTGTACGAGAATGATTATTATACTAAATGCTTAGGGGCATTAGGGAAACGCAGGTTAACAAATACGACTTTCCTCCATGACGATTCTGTAGCTTGCGCAAAAAAGTTATTTTTTTATACATGTTTAAAATTTATAATAATTACCCCTGCATGATTCGCTTCACCAAGTCATATGTGTGATAATTCGATGAACTGGTAAAGTAAATGAGAGTAGAAGTACTTTCTAAAGAAGATGGGACCGGTCTACTTCTGCCGGTCGTCAGGAATGACTAATTAAACGAGAAATCCCCACGGGAGCAGTTCGCCACGCTGGAATTTGTTACAGTGATGGTGCGTTAATAAATCGGTCTAAGCTGGTCAATAGACTAATTGCAATATTCCCAAGCGCCACGGCCCGCACTTGAGAAATCATGGTTCAGCTCGCTAGTGATCGCTAATTTTGACCAATTTAATGGTTACCCAGTTTTTGAGCGTAATTTGGAGTCACAATGAACAAGCGCCTGATATACCCCAAGGACCTGTCATATCACGTAAATTTGTCGTCAATGTAATCATTTTTATAGTGGGCATATGATTCACCTTTCAGCCTGGCTGAGCTGCAGAAATCTCTTACAATATTATCATTCTCATGATTGTTGTTTTAGCAGGAATTGCTAAAAAGCCGAAATTTCCCAACAGCAAAAACCAGGATTTAGCTCGGAGTCCGTAGGACTGTTTATAGCATTTTCAGCGTTTCTAACTTAATATCAGCGTCTTTGAAGCTGTACGAGAATGATAATAATGGACGAGAATTCTGCAGCCCGTCTAGGTTGAAGGGTGGGCAGCATGCACAGTATCAAAAACGCTGACATTGAGGAGAAATTTTTAAAGGAATATGACTGGTCATTGGGGTATATCAGGCGCTTGTTCAGGGTGACTCCGAATTACGCTCAAACGCTGTGTAACCAAGGATAGACTCGAAATGACCGATCACTAGGGAGCTGGAGAAACACCGCTCCCATGATCCTTTTAGCAGGGGCCAGGGCGCTTGAGGGATATAGCAAATGGTCTATCCAGAGTTATCTTCGTCGAATAAGATTTGCGGAAAGGTAGTACAAAAGTTCCTCAATTTTTACGCAGCGACCTTACTTTGTTTTTGTTTTTTTTAATTTAAGGAGACGATGCGGACATTGTGGCTGAGAAAAAACAAACACATCGGTCGTCTAAATCGAAAGTTAGATGTAGGTTTCCATCAAACTATCCGCAAGAAGATGATGCTTCAGCTACTGAGAGGAAGCAAATTTGATATTGCAGAGCGTTTTAATTGTACATTTTTGGAAAAAGCACGTTTCGGAATGTAACTCCTGAATTCGATAGAGCCTGACTGAATGTTGCGTATTAGACTGCAGGGTCTAGAATAAAAATCAAGATTATTTATACTATGATTTAAATCGGTGTTTTAAATCGTACCAGCTTTACATTGATAAATTAAGTTGAACCATTCCAAGAAAAAATGTGTGCATTGTTTTTATTTCAGTTGTGCTTTCTATAATCACTTCTTTTGCATTTACATAAAACATTATTCATAAACAATTGTTTACACCAGATTGAACAAAAAAAAACTACGGTGCTCTTCATGACAAATCAAAACGATTTCTTCCTTGCACCGCAGTCCTTGTGTTAATTGAGGTCCTATTGCAAGCAAATCAGTACGCGAAAAGAAAACAGATAAATCTGTCTCACTGTGAGATTTACATAAATAATTTTTTGTAAAATAAAAATGTAAATCAAAAGTTTAAATTTACTATATTTATCCCTTCGGCATTGCTCTCATTAATAAGACGAATTGACTAATCACCGTGCTATATTTAAAAGTACAAAATATCACTTTTTGTAATTACTGTTGTTTAAACCACACCAATCTTATTTAATTAATTAAATCGGTTTAATTTGATTCTTTGAAACAAGGGATTTCTCACCGCCTTGTTGGATGAAGTATTCACTTCATTTGTGTACTACACGCATTCCCTAGAGTACAAAATATCAGTACTCTCGCTTAATGTCCATTTCCAGTTTTCTCGAGCTCTTCAATCTGATGCTACCATATTCTGAACTATATAAAAAAAGAACTCGAGGCAACAAAAATAGTAAACGTAATTACGGTGTAATCACCTATGAAATCAAATCCAAACAATTCCGAAAAGTTGAAGTTCAAATATCAAACTGCCGTGGTATATATTTTATATCTATACATATGAAAATACGAGCAGAGCATAGAGCTAACTATAATGTATGTCACCATTTACATACTCTAGTTACAACACCTCCCGTCACATGTATTGTAAAGCCGAGTGGCTCTAGAAAGAATTGGTACCAAAACATCGCGCAGCTGTTTACACATACAGAAGGTGAATTAAACTCACTCGTCTAGAGCCGACCATATTAGAGAGATCGTCGGTCTATGAAGGTGCCGAAAGTCTGGTAACTACGGCTTTGGGTATCATAATTCGGAAATTAATTGTTCTCCCCCATCTTGTGTTGTTAAAGCATAAGAATAGCCATAAGAGTCACTCCATAAGATAACATACCATATTGTGTTATCGTGAAGCCAGCTTTCCTAGCGGGCTGAAAGCTACGCCTACCGGTGAAACACTCTTCATTTCAAGACAGCTCCGTACTCCGCAAAAGCAATTCCTATCAGTAATAAAAAACGGGGAACTGGCTGCGGCAGGTGAAATGATACGATTCTGCTATCTGAGCTTTCAATAACTAAAAAAACACGTCTGCATCTGCACTTTGGGTTGAGAGAAATTCGGTTCGCGTGTTATTCATGGTTCTAATTTGTGATCCAGACTTAAAGTGAATACGACATTCATGAATAGCGCTTTGTTAAATGCCTCCCGCCATATCTAAGAACAGAACATGAATTATTGTCTCAGAGAGCGAAAATGAAAAGAACGATAAAAAAACAGCCTAAAAAAGAACTGACCAGCGAAAAAAACAAAAAGACACGCAAGAGTAAATCTCGATCGTTTTTTGGCAACTCAATCCCACTGCTTTTACTCGGATCTTCTGCTGCATCGATCCGGAAGAACCGGCGCGGTGGCAAATGGCGAACTCTGATGAGTTTTTGCAATGGCTCGAGCGCCCAACGGGAGCGCTCCTGCTTTGTCCCTGGCTGCAGGGATGCGACGTCGACGACGGCAAAAGCGCTAATAACGGTAATTGCGGAGCCACCGGAACTTGACGACAGAAAAAAAAATGTAAGGATGCTTTGGGAGCAAAAGAAAGAAAGCGCGTTCAACGGCTGCGTTCAACGGCGCTGCTCCCGAGAGAAGGCAGTCAGTACGTCGACGGAGATAAAGCTTGGCGGTTGACTCTCCTCAGAGTTGTCGGTCCTCCAAGGACAACTCAAACGCTTCTTTTTTTGCTGGCCCATTCGATGTATACAGGACTGCGCAGAACGAAAGGCGTGCAATAGTAAAAAGAAACATTAAGAAAAGTTCTCTCCGAGTTTGCACTGCGTGATATATTCAAGCACGAGCCCTACGTGAAGATCGCGGTACGTGTGACCTCGCACCTCCCTGTTGTCTTGTTTGTTTGATTTCATCGCCTACCTTAATGTTGTTTAGCAGCAGCTTATTCTACTCCCTACAACATATACTATAGCTTTGCGTTGTGGTTCCAGGGAAAGACGAGCACAATACTTTTAACGTCAAAGCGATATGGATTCATGTCATCGGCGCAATGTCTCCGAAGATAGAATGTCTACGATGAAAACTACACGAAAGTCGCTTCCTACACATTTTTTTTATTGAGCACTATTTTGTAAATAACGGTCTGCTACTCAGTTGGCGAGAAGGCAATAAATAAATATATTGGAGCAAATTCATTAAAAAACGAGGCCGTGGAGCTAGGTTTTAGGTTCTGAATTTGGAAATTTTTATTCCCCTAGTTAGGCTGAAAGACAAAATGAACGAGTGTCTTGAGCGGATTTGAAGATGTACCGATAAAATGTCTAAATAAGAGAATACTGTATCCATTGTACGTATAACTTTGTTAAATATCGCTAAGGACTGACCGAAGCAGATTACATTTAAATGCGTGTCAACACCAGATGTGTGTAAGTAAGGGGGGGGGGAGAGGGAAGGGGGGGGATGAAGATATATAAATGATGGCCGAAAATCGAATATTTTAATCTAATAAAATAGAATAGAAGCGAGGAATCTTATTCGCCAAATTATGATAGCGGACTTGTACAACTCGAGCAGTGATGGGCTCCGTTACCGTGTTTTAGATTGAATAGCACGGATTTGTTTTCAAGGAAGGCTTACGATAATATGCGGGCAGCAAGTCGTCTGCTTCTTGCGCAGAAGTTGCGGTGACATGAGAACGACGCCGAGCTCTGATTGGTTTCGACTGAAAGGATAGTGGGTAGACCTCAATTCTCGATCCCTTGAGGTGCACTATTTCTACTATTTCACCCACTATTTCGTTCTTTTCAAGCAGCCGACAACAGCTTGGGTGTTCTGAAATCATCGCAACCCCCGTGCAAGAAGCAGACGAACTTGCATTCCGCGTTGTCTTTGTAATTTAGTAATTCCGTCTACCGTAAGAACACTTGTAGCTGTTCTTATGTTTATATCACGCCGCATGATTCGCACTTACTAGACTTCCCCATAATTGTCGATATCACCAGTTACACAAAAGAATGTTTCTAAATGTTGGCTGCTCTTAAACGCTGTATAACAATCTATCTTATATATTACAGCACATAAGGAAACCATTTCCCCGCTCATGCTTTCTATGCATGTGCTAACGACTATGCTTTATGTATTAACTGAATCTACCAAAACGCAGAGACGTAACACCAATCCATGCAATACATCCCCATATGAGCTCACGCACCGTTTCTCAGGAGCCAGTCTGGAAGTTGGCAGTCATAAATAGGCCTAAGTGTGTATTGCACATCATTTGCTTATAATATAGCTTTGTTAATTATTGACAAAGCTACGAGTATTTTTTATATAATTCTATTTTTTATGTCTAAATGACGAAATTATCCTACCAATTCAATACAAATGTTAGCTATTCATTCCTTCCAACTCTTGCTTCACTTGACATCAGAACGTAAACTGAGGCCATACAAAACGAATGATAATACTTGAGTTATCTAATCTCAAATGCCTTAGGCGAAGGCTTATTGATTTTTCACTTTTTCAGTTTAATTCGTGAATTATATCCTTCTTTCCCGGCACTTAATTACCCCGTCCCCCAGGCGGCTGCGACATCCGACCGAAGTCGTCCGAAGGTGAAGCCACCCTCCGGGTAAGGTCGACAACACCGCTGGTGAGTGCTGTGTGTTCGCGGGTGTGTGTGACGCCGCCGCTGCTGCCAGCATGGAAGCCCCCGTCGTCGAGGCTCTCCATGTCATCGTTGGCAATCACGCCGCCCCGCTCAGATACGGGGTCCTCGTCTGTACCAAGCTGGACACTGTCCGAGACCGGCGGAACTCTACCCATGTGCTAAGCATCACTAGGCTTCGAGCCCTTAGGCCTAAGGTCTACCCAAGCTGCGTCATGGTCCATCCTGCGATGTTGAGTTGTGAATTTTTTTTCTTCGTCTTTTTGTGAAGCACACGTTACAGTGTTTGTCGTTTGCGCTACCGGACTAGTGAACAAGAGGATGAAGAGATCCGCAAATGCGCAGGCTCAAGAGCCGACCTATGCGCGAAGCCTTATTAGGCTTAACATTGGATAAGTCTAGTCGGTCATGGTTTAGTGTTACTCGACTAGGACGTGTAGGCAATAGGATCTCAAGAGCTGGAATCATGGCGCTTGTATCGTTCACGTGGTGCGACAAACGAACTTGTGAGCTCGCAAAACATAAATCCATTTCTGTAATCGACGATAATGGAGAACCTCGCAATGCTCAGTAATCAAGGTTTGATAGGGTTGCGTGCCTGCATAGCAACTGCCAGAAGAGGGTTCTGACACAGAAAAGATTAGGTCACTTTGGGATTATTATCATTTCGAGGTGTTCTCGCTGGTTTCTTAGTCATGCTACCAATGCCCCCATTTTTATGTCGACTTACTTAATTTTTTACTAGGCGTCGTCTGAGGTATAAGCCTTGCGTGGGTGCCAGAAAGAGTTATATTTTTAGGCTTTAGACTAATGTTGACTCAATTATTGTTTTGATTATATCGTCCTTAATTTTTTCATGTCTGTTTGTTAAAGCGTGTATTTAAAAAAAAAAGTTGCTCTTCAACAGAGTTTTAAATATTCGAACTTCCCAGAAATGATTTTTATTTAATTGCTGACAGCAGCTCATCTCGAAAGCAGCAAGATGTTTCCGCGCATTTGTTCAGGTGGTCATAATCATCTATTGCCGACTGCGTCGACTCAAATAAGGTTACACGGGTAGAAAAAAACAAACAAACGTGATGTGTATCTTTGTTATTGTTTGGATTCTTTATTCATAGAATTAAACTTCGCTTTGTGGATATGTTTTAAAGCACCGGGGTGCGAATAGCACCCCTGCATAAGCTTATTTTTTATTCTTTGCGAATTTTCTGATGAGAGTTAAAAAAAACCGTTTAACTTATCATTTAGCTCTTAAAACGAGGTCCGCTATGTGGGAAATATCTACCATTCCTCAGAAATACGAACATGCGTTTAGCGCGTTTAAGTCTTAAAATGTCCCCTTTAAAACTTGAAGTCGTACCAAAATAATGCGTATAGCCGATAATATTCGAATACCCATCAACCGTGCTCAAGCATTTTATTAAGTAATTCACACGGAACGCAGAGGGTTGGTCTTCACCGCAGTGCGTTAATCTTAAAGCCTTGCGGGCTAACCGCATTATTACACTGCTGAAAAGAAGCAGAACCATTTATTGATACTTGTGCTTATTTGTTATTAGTTATTTATATTCAGTGCTCTTTAAATTTTTACGAAAACGCTTTGAGGACCAAGAGGTAATTTTAACGGCGCGAGCTTAGATAGATACATTTAAAATATCACAACTGCAAGAGATATTACAAGATAATGTTGTTAAAAAAGCGCTTTGTGTTCGTTAATGATAATCTAGATGTTGAACACTTAAGTTACGCTAACTGAAAATACTTCTACCTGGCACACCCGAATTGTGACGAAGCAATTTCAAATATATAAAGAAAAAGCAAGTGAACAACCAAACAATTAGGCTTCCATATGTCTCAGTGAGATGAAATTGTTGCTGCACTGAACGTACAACATAATCATTCATCACTTCGCTCGTAAACGTTCAGGTCTTCGGCAATTTTCGTCAACGATCTTGCTAAGGCTTTTTTTTTCAATAGTGTATTGGTGAGCGCATACAATGGTGCTATCTCGCACAGTGGGGCAGTCGCTAACTTTTGTCATTGACTGTCGATATTTTGTTCAAAACAAACTTAGTGACAGATATTCAAGTTCTTTCGCTGTCGTTAACTTGTTTTGTTTGTTTGTTTTTTCTGCTGGAGTTAGGCTCAATCTGCCGATCACATTTTCCGCTGCGAATGCGCTTGCACTCCGAATTTCACACCATTCAATACACAAACTTTCTTTTGTCAAATTGAGCAACCCAACAAGGACTTTTGACATGTAAAAAGCATCGGATAAGTTTCTTGCGTACCGGGGTGTTTCTCGCATACTGGGGTATACCTGAATTCGTCTGAATGCATGTAGGCGCTTTGATGAATTATCGAAACGAATATTTTTTCTACTATCTGGTGAAAAACTTCAGTTCATTTTCTAACTTTTGTTGAAAACCAAAAGAGTCGCACTGCTATGTCTGGTACAGCGAGCTTTAAAGGTACATTAGCATCTCACTTTATTTGCACTAACTATGGTTAGTTGGTTGTGCGTTTGCAATACAATTTGTTCAAATTCACTATTTAGAAGCAGGCAGGCTTCCTACGTGCGTGCACTGAAACTCAACAAACTCCCAACCTTAAATGACTTACCTGTGCACAGCCGAGATTGATTGTATATACTGCGGGTAGTCACATCCAGTTTTTGTAAGAGAGTGCAAGTCGTGTACCTGTATAAGTACACCTGGGTTCTTTCTAAATACTTAATGTAGCTGCATTTTCGCAATTGTCGTTTTAGCGTTTAAGAATTCCGTGAAAAAGAAAACCGACTGCTCCATCTAGAGCACTCATAGTTTTATAAAAAAAACTTATTATTATCATGAACCTCACTATTTACACTGTAAATTCCGAAACAAATTTACTGGTGCTTGTGTGTCATGATCCCCGATTAACGTCCTATGTGCATAAATAGTGAATTGGAATTACTACCTCCGCCACGTCATAGGCGGCAAGCTTCTTTTCCCTGTGGGGTGTGGCCAAGCCATCACAGCTACCCTTTCATTTAATCTGTTCTTCGAAGGAAGGCATCTATCGCGCATCTCATGTACCTGCTGTTGTGAATCGCGCGTTTCTCAACTCTCGGTTGTGTGTGTATGTGCATGTTTGTGGGCTTAAGTGTGGCCGTGAACGTGCATGCATGCGTACGTCCCTGCTTGCCTGTGTGGGTATGTTTGTGTGATAGAAAACAGGTGCATAAGTTTAGCGAAGCTGTACATTGTAAAAATTATCTTTTATCCTTTTCCGAGTTTTAATACAACGCTAATATTTCACAAATTGAGCAGTTTAATGTGCGTAATATTGTATATCAGACAAATGCATAGAGATTGGGGACACCTAACTAATGGAAAAAGAATCGTTTTTCAGAACTTTTTTTGTCAACTTTGGGATATGCTTTGAATATATTCGCTATCCGATTATATTTAACCCTCTCTAACCGATAGCTCTTGTACAGTATAAAAATAATTGCGGATTCGTAGGCTTGGACCGACCGTTTCTTTCCCTTCGTTCATTAATTATGGAATGAATCCAGACAAATATATTCTTTCTGATTATTTCTTTTTTTTGCGCTAAGAATTATGCCACAAATTTGCTTGTTGGTACAAAGCGTGATAACTATTAGTTTTTAAATTCATTAATCTCCTGGACAATTTTTAATGCTTCTGTATGTATGCGTTGTACAAATGTTTCTTTACTCCAGTAAGCTTGGGTGCACTGCACCACTGAAAATACAAGCAAGATGTTAATTTGTGTTTTCTTCACTCACTCGAAATAATTTGAATCACTTTACATCCTGAATATACTGGCACAACCCACAGATGTCTTAAAAAAATTCACTCAACCATTGAAAGTTGCAATAATACAAGAAAGCAACACAGGAGTGTATAATTATGTTGCACATTATTTTGGCAGATTTAGCAAATATTGTTACAGCACACACGACTGACATGGCCACTTTTTGTTATCTCCTGGAGTGTTCAATCTGGTTAATGCCATTGTCAACTTTCGGGAACAGCAGCCCTTTAATACTATCCGTCTGTAAGAAACTGTAGTGTATTGGGTTTGACCTAGCCGCCGAAAAAGCAGCGTTGTTGCACTCCAAAGGCAAGATGGACAGTGTTTATTGACATCTATCTACGCCTAAACTAAAAGGGTGGCCAGTTATGAAAACTGTAGCATGTTCAAAATATATATCAGAAGAATAAAACGGTAACCGGTGTTAAAGTGAACATTTAATCAAATATTTCCAATGTGGCACAAAGAAAAATAACCTACAAAATATTATAATGTCACAAGCTTCATTACACGAGTTATTAGTTTGAATATCACAATGCACATACAAATATATTTACCAAGTTCCCTATGAAAAAGAAAACAAATGTGTGCATTTCTTGCATTTTTATTTATGTCTTGAACGCACAAGGGTACTGATTTCTCAGATACAAAAACAAATCAAGTCTGGAGTAAGGGCGGATGGCACTCCTTCTTTTTATAACAATTACTTGACCCGATTTCTTTGCGTAAAGTGTTCAATTAATTCTTTATTCAAAGTGAGTTCACCGGACGGACAACTGACGAGAATTTAGGGTATACATTGTATGCAGGGTGGTTATGTACTAAACCGGATCAAACATATGCCTGAGCTTTGTGGCTCCATACTGATTTCCTTCATAATTGTCGTAAATATACTTTCATCCCCTTTGCACGCTTTCTTTTCTAATGTCGCACACAATCATAGCAAACCTCTGACGCCCCTTTACCCAGGTTATGCTTCTTAGTCTTGATCGAGTTGTGTATACGTATATGTGTCATCACTGACCCATATATAATACCTGTAGATAAGTTCATTCCCCGTAGATTCAAAATGTTTCCCTGCACTAAAAAGCAAATCCCAGAAAACCTCTCATGCAAAACACCTCGGTCTTAGCTACAAGCCTTTTGTTGGGTTGCTTGCCAAACCACCGTTTTTTAATTACTACTTCACACAGCGTCCCACGTAAAATTGGAGGTCATTAACGGCGGAAATGCGGTTCACTTTAATAATTTTAAGAGAAAGGAGTATAAAACTAACTTGCTTATATTTTTAATTTTCCTTTCGCGAGAGCGTAAAGGTTGTACAGTAATGCGGCGTTCTAATT